CGGCGCTGTTGGCTTCTGCCTGCGGCTTGGCGCTCGCGAGGGATATCGGTGGGGCGACAGAGGCACCTGCGCGCTTGTCACTTGGCGCGGCCAAGACCACGGGGCCGTCCGTGGCGCTAGGCATTGGGAGGTTCGCTAGGACGCCACGGGGCGCGCCCAAGGGGTCATGGGGCATGGCTGGAAAGCCGCCCATGACAATTATAGAGTTAAGAGGAGACAGTTGTCGTTGTTAGAGACTTTGGCTAAACCCATAAGCAGCCCCTTAAAGTTGGTTTCGCTTTTCATTTTGACACCTTGACTCAGGCCTTTTTTATTTTGACACTTGAACACTCATTCCCTCACGTGCCATTTAAACACAAAACGCTGACCAGTCAAAAATACAAACAGAGTGTAATTCACATACGGCTTATGTGGCAAACAACAAATGAAACGATGACATGTGGCATTTGTTCTCAAATAATTTAAAAATAAATTTTGACAAAAAAAAAATACCTATATTTTCAATTACCACCACTTCTGTCATCTTCTCTGCACACCCAATCCTCTGGTTCTATCATATTCCCACAACCATCGGTGCTTTCACCACTGAAATATTCACTGGCTTCAATAGAAATTTTCTATCACTGCCTTCAAGTTGTCATTTCACTTAGATAATTTCTCTCGTTTCTCGAATTTATTTTTGTGTTCTAATTTGACCATCATTTTTTATTTAGTTGATTCACTGCAATATAGGGAGAACTGATCTTTTGTATATTTGCATCAAGAAACCAACGATGATATTCCTACATAACTAATGAATTTAACCAGCTTTAATTGGAAAGAGAAATCATTTTGACATTATGAGATTTTGTGACATAGTTTTGTGCTCTAATGTTCATGAATATCATAAATAGGGGTTACACAGACTTGCTTAGTTTTTATGTAATGATGGAGAATAGATTTACAAGGACTTTGTACATAGTTTTGCCGTTTAGTTATCATTAGGGGTGTCAAATGGGCGGGTTAGGTTAATTTTGGGCGGGTCAAAATGGATTGAGTTAATAATTGGGCGAGTCTAATGACCCTCCCAAAAGTTACTTGGGCTAAGATGGATTGGGTCAATATGAGTTAAAATTCGGGTCATTACCCAACCCGCCCAACTCTTATTAAACTTTAATTAATATGTGTTATTTTCTTATAAATTGTATAATTACTAAATAAGGCTTTTTTGCTTTTGTTATGGTCATATTTAAAATATTAAACAAAAACTAAAATTATTTCTAAGATATTTTGACAAACTTACTCATGGATCAATTTGAGCTAAAAATTAGCCCAACTTTAAATGGGTTGAGATGTGTTGGATCAAGATGGGCTAAGTTTAATAAATAGGCGGGTTAATAACCAACCCAACCTTGGACGGGTTGGACGGGTCATTTGGGCTTGGGCCAAATTTGACAGCCCTAGTTATCATAGTAGTGGACATGGAAGAGGGAGAATGGGTAAGGGAAATCGAGGGCGGCGTTCGAAGTAGGACTGTTCAAAATCGAATCGAAACCGATGGCTTATTGGCTTATTGATATCGGATTATCGGGGTAATGGATCATGAACGGATTGAGATTTTATAATTAACGGCTTAACGGTTTGGGACGGATTATTCAATTTTCTTATCGGGTAAATCGTTAACCCGTCAAGAATTTTTATATCTACACTTTTACCCATATGTAAGACGACTCTGCAGCTGCTTTTGTGTTGGTTCAACTAGTTTGAGTTTTCTGTGTTGTTCAACTTGAAATGATAAATGCGAGACATTTAGCTCATATTATAGCACAGTAAAGTTAGGCGGAGCTGTAGTAAAATGGATGAAACTAGTTTTCTTTATGTTTAGGATGCTCATCTGGATTTTGTACAGTGCAATAAACTGGAACTATGTTCTATTAGAAGACGACTCTTCAAAAATAATGTTAGATTAACAAGACAGTCTTTTGAATTTGAATCCGACATTAGTTTGAAAGCATCGACATGTCATCTTATTATGGCCGTTTGGAATTGATTGCTCAAAAAATTTCTATTTGGTTTAGCTGATAAACTGATCGATAACCGCCAGATAATCATTAATCAGATACCAATTCGCCCATTGTCTTATTGGATGACTGGCAGATTACTATATTTATAATCCGATAACGGTTATGCCAAACCGTTAAGCGTAATTATCCGCCCAATAAGCACCCCTAATTCGAAGAGTTGGTGGGTAGGGGAAGGGCAAAGGTGACGATTGATCAAGGGACGAAGCAAAAAGAGAAATAAATTTAAAACCAAAAAGAAAAGTTCAGCCTTCCACGCGCTCAATAGAGGTGCAAATCATAATGTTTAAATGGTACATGAGGAAATTGAAGTGTCAAAATGGAATAGGCCCGAGTACATGTGTCAAAATGAAAAGTAAAACCAACTTTAAGAGGTCTCTTATGGGTTTGGCCTAGAGACTTTACTTTGATTTTTTGACCTTATTTTGTAGTCCATAATATTTTTTTTTTTTTTTCGGATATCATTAATTTATTTTTTTAGAGTTGCCCTTAGAGTAAAAAACTTAAGAGTATATTTTTAATGAACAAATTAAGGTTAATATTGTCAAATTCATTATTAATTAAGTCTGCTACGGCTGTAGGCTGTAGCAAGATAAGTCTCCTAACTATTGCACTATTCCCGACCGGCCGCCCTAAAGAAAGGAAATTGTTATGTCAATTTTAACTAAACATTCCAAAAACTCATTGCGTACCACGAACTAATCGTTTGTTGTGTGCAAATAGTACTTTCTCAATATGCCTGTAGATACAATTGTTTCAAGGCAAGCTGCATTATGTCTTTTCTCAAAGTTAAATTTGGTGCGAGAAGAGTTCTACCAATATGCTTCTTAGCTTCTACGATACAACGAAAATTAAAATCTATAATAGCGTTTTGTAATAAAAAAAAATACTTTTCAGCAGTATATCTTGAGTAATTAAGGTGATGGAAAATATGTTCTCCGAAAAGCATAGTCAAATACGTTGCACGCCTGTTTTAGGTGCTGTTTGTACATCATGTCCCTTTACAATTTTAAATTTAAGAAAATGACATTTTTAGATCTTTTATTTATAAAAGACAGATCTATTAGGTGTAAAAGTAAATCTCCCATGTATAAAAAAAAGAGAATAGGATCATAAAATTAAAAATAAGTTTTTAAAAAGCCAAAAAACCAATTGACCCCCTGTTTTAGTGGAGATCAAAAGTATTATTTTGGGAATAAACGTAACAAGGCTGCCACCTACCTTACTAAATAAGAAGACAAAAGCTCCTGTAAACATCATACAAGGTCACGAGTCACGTTTATCATGTTGGAACATGCACGGGAGTTTCCCCATTGAATATTCAAGGTTTATTACTTCCCTATTGTACAAGTTTTAGGTACGAAAAAAAACTTTTTTGTGAAGAATAATGAGTCGCAGAACTGAATGTCTAGGATGACTACGACTTTGGAATAACGACATAATTTATTATAAATTAATTGACCGATGACAAAATCTCTAATTCAAGGAGAAAAATAAACTATGTGTTTTTAGACTTATATTTCTATCCGAGTACCTTCCTTGTAGCACTTGTGAGAATGAAACATTCAAACAAAGATGTACCTTACTGTAGAAGCTTTTTAAAACAGACCAATAGCTTGTTTGTTCAAGCTTCTAAAAATCAACTTATTTTGATAAGTGTTTTTTTCAAAAGTACTTTTAAAAAAAGTGTTTTTGGTGAAAAGCAATTTGTATTTGGCTAATTAATTTGAAAAGCACTTTTAAGCAGTAATTAGTGTTTGGCCAAGCTTTTGAAAACTGCTTCTAAGTGTATTTTTCTCAAAAGTGCTTTTCAGAAAAGTGCTTTTGGAGAGAAGCTACTTTTTTCTGCTTCTCAAAAACTGCTTCTGCTTCTCCTCAAAAGCACTTTTTTTCTTTCCAAAAGCTTGGCCAAACACCTCAATTTTTGGCCAAAAGTGCTTTTGGCAAAAAAAAAAAGGAACTTTTGGCCCAAAAAAAGCTTGGCCAAACAGGCTACAATTTCTCAAAGCTTCCAATAGACAATGGTGGAGTGAAGGTAATAGGATCATCAGGAAGACTATTCTGCACCAGAGTTGACCGCACCCGATACGTATGTACCGGTGGAAGCTAGCAAATATCCCGTGAAATTAGTCAATGTCACATTACACGGTTATAAAGAAAATAATCTACTAACAAGAGTGACCAGCTCCTCAAGTCTATCCCTATTTACAAGAAGGTCCAGCGCCACTACATGATATAACAATAACAACAACATACCCAGTATGATCCCATAACTAGGGTCTAGGAAGGGTGGGATATACACAAACCTTAACACTACCTAAGGTCTGCGTACGCTCCACCCTCCGCAAACCCCATTTGTAAGATCATGCTACCTAAGGTCTGCGTACGCTCCACCCTCCCCAGATCCCACTTGTAAGATCATATTGGGCATATTGTTATTGTTGTATCATGTAGTGGCACTGGACCTTCTTGTAACCGAGGTGCACATTCCACGGTTATAAAAAAATTAAAAAAAGATCTACTAAAAAGAGTGACTTGTCATCCTTGATTTGAAGATATCTATGGCCGAGAAAAAGGGTATTATCCTCGGGCTCATTCTGAGACAGCTTTAGCTCATTTTTTGGGCAAAAGTTGTTTAGATGAGGCACCGATTCTTGTGCCCTTCCTTGTTTCGCTCTATTTTATTGTTTCTCCAGGCGAGAATTTTTGTTGTGTGTCTCACACAATTTACATTAGTTGTGTGAGGTTCCTTTTTGTCTCACAAATTTGTGGACCCCAATCTTATACTTCTGGGTCCACAAAAATCTGGGTCCACAAAACTATGAGACAAAATGGAGCCTCACACAACTAGTGTCAGTTGTATGAGACACAAAATAAAATTTTCCAGCAATAACCAGCAAATCTTTACTGCTTGAGTATGGTTCTTCTAGTCACCATCGAAGTTCCAAAAGGATTAACAGCTATGCATTGGCTATAAAACAAAGACCGCCATGTAAAATATATCTATTTTCTACCAAAATCAGATAAATTTATACTGCATACACACTACAAACAACAAATCCATCATGTGATGGTAGTATAAGCTATAACGGATAGCAGAACCAATAGCAAACTAGGGAGACGCTAAACTGGTGAATATTTGCATGTGTCTCAGCATACGAATCAACTTAGCTCCCAGGTAATACTGCAAAGGACCAAAATTGTTTGCCTGCTGCTGCCCTGGGTGTGCAATGAACATCTAAGCTCACTGACCATTCCTCTGAAAACATTTTCAAATAACAATAAAACATGCCATGCAAAGTAATCAAGGCTCAAAAAAAAATTCTCTGAAGCAAGTACTATTGAAAAGTAGACACGTTAATAGAACTTATAAAAGAGATAATGTTTGATCGCTTAAATCCATAGTTCAGTAAATAAAAATTGCATCAATAACTAAAGTTGCAACATGCCTTTTTATGGCAAGTGACAGCTAAACTCACTTCAAAAAGCAGACAATACATATTAGCACCGAAAAGAAAACAGTACCTCCACCTCTTCAGTTTTCAAGTTGTTTAAGCATTATCAGCAACAGTAGGGAGGGCAGTAACTTTCCCCACAGCAACAGTTTTCCCTGCAGATAGCGGCAGTCATTGTGATCCCATGTTGCAGTGTGGTGCATTTAAACTAAAGCATGACAAGCTTTCAAGGCAAAATGGTTTCTTTACCTTCAGTGCGAAGAGTGAATCGTCCAAGTTGTGGAAAATCAGAGAACTTTTCAATACAAATCAGATTATTCACCTGGCATGATTATTAGAATCAAGACCTAGAACTCAAAATAACAATAGGAAAAGGTCGCAACAAACGAGGATAAGGGGTTTGAAGAAAATGGTATATCCTATAAAACATCCTATAACTATTCAAAGCTAATGAAATTAAGCATATATAAAGATGGTTGAATTACTAAAAATGAGAGCGAGTGTAAAAGAGCAGCTGCCCATTAAATTAAGTGACCTTGTCAAATTGGTAGGAAGAAAAAATGAGAGGTTTACTTGTCCAAAACAAAACCAAAAAAGAAAAAAGAGTGAGCACTTTCCCCTCCCTTAATTATGACAGTAGATAAAAGTTTGAACAAGAAGAATGAACTGAAAATCAAGCCTCACGTAGATAAATATCCCGAAGGTTGCTACTAAATAAGACAGCTAACCTGAACACAACATAAGATGATGGCACCATTTTTCACAAACAAAGGTTTCTTCTTCATGGGTTTCTTTGTCTTGAGATCAATCTGCTGAATCAGTTCCACAATCTCACATTCTTCAACAGCAGCATGAATATGCAACACAGCCTTGTAGCCAGCAGTAAAAATAGCCTGAGAGATCATACAATGTTTATTCACATTGCACTTATGAAACTCTGAAACTAATAAGAGGGAATGAACAGCTAGATTAAATTTGACCAGTACATTGTCCAACAGCTCCAGGATCTGCAACTGTGCAACAAACTCAGTAACTGCAGGTATGGGCTGTGCTGCAAGTCCAAAACTTATTAGAAATCACCCAAAGCTTTGAAACCCAGCCAATAGAAAGATTAACTTAAAAGATGGAGATTCATGCATGTATATGTGTACGGTTCACTAAGCCAGTATTATATCTCCAATCTAATTATAATTCTTTCTGAAACAGGATAAGGATTTACTAAACAAGTGCGATCCCTTAAAAACACCTGTTGTGTGGCCAAATTGTACTCGGGACAATTTCCTATTCGGTTTTACAATTCTTCATTCGACCAAATATAACTCAAAACCCATTTTATTAGAGAGGTTTTGTTCAAAACATCAGCAGACTGATCACCCTGTTACAGCTCATTAACCAGCCAAAAACCTATTCAATTAATCCTGTCAAAAGGGCGTGTTGTGGGCTTCCAATAACAAGTGAACTGGCATTTGGAAGGTTAAAGATCCTATCATAAGATTGTCTCAAGACTAAACTTCCAACTTTTTAAACTGAACTTCTCGAATTCCATTAATATGTGCTTAAAACTCCATAGGATGCATACTTTGGGTACATGTAGGCATGTGGATTGGCAAGAAACATGCTATATCAGATTTAGAAGCACCATCAACAATTTCCTCAGATCAACTGAAAATATATGACTTTTATAAGCTCAATAAAAAGTTAAAAAGGCAAATGAAAAGCAAGTACGCTGCATGGAAGGAGCTAAGAAGGCAATATTTCATTAGCTCATTTTATCCATGACTTATGAACTTCAGTCCTCACATCTTGGACCGGAATAAATCAAAAACAGATATGAGAGCTGCATGTGCTTATTCAAAACATACAAACAGAAAGTTCATTTTCCCATTAGCTCACTACATTAGTTTTTTGTTCAACATTCACCTCATTAATGCGGTATTACTTTGTCCTGATCTTACTGGATCAATCAGCTCTTACATACTTCAATTATAATGTCTATTGTAAGACGACCTAGGACTCGCCCTGCAGAACATTTTCTACCTGATCAACTTAACAGGAAAACATGAGATTTTTTTACCAATTTATAGGCTAATGGAAACTTAAAGGACAGCATGAAGTTTTCGATCATTTAAAACCAAATGTCACCGTCACTAAAGAAAATCTCTTTCTTCTGTCTTATTTATACCCTTCACATCGACTAAGCAGATAAACTGCAGCATACTAGGTTCCAGTTAAGAGAATATTCATTTAAATGGGTAACTTGTTAGCAATTCAAAACTGAATCTCAAATAGTTATTGAAGGGAACAAAGAGAATAAATACCATTCCATCAGCAATTACAGACAATCTAGAGAAAACATACCAACACTGCACAAGACAAAACCCGACATAATGTCCTCTTCCTCGATTCCAGACAACCTAACTCGTACATTTTCCCCAGGACCTGCACCCCTAACTCTATCTTCATCACAGAATATGGCAAGGACTTTCACAGCGGCCTGTAAATCATCATATTATGAGGTGGAATTCCTTAAGTATTCAATAAAACACATAATTTAACCAAAAATGTTTCGTTAAATCAACAGCTGAATAAAGTAACGGGAAAAAAGGTCCAAAAAAGTCTACCTTATTTGGCATCACCAACAAATTATCACCTTCACGTATGCTCCCAGATTCTATTTTACCCATAACAACAGTTCCCATATCTTTAAATTTGTCAATAATAGGTACTCTGCAAGAAAGGGACGCTTGTAAAATGAATGAATACTCAACTGCTGCTACCGATGGGAATAAGGATAAGAAAATCAGAAGGTTCACAAAAGGTAGATGAGCCCTCAAGCAAGAATGACTATATACATATACAAATGCACACCATAATACAAAGTCCTTTTTTTTATGGTGTGCATTTGTATAT